AAACTGTTTGGGAAATGAGACCTGACCCACACTCGAGAGAATGGGGGAAGTAGAGCCTCCAAAAGAAACGAAACAAAAGAAAAAAATTCACTTTACCATGACAATGCAAATTGCGTTCGAAGAAAAAGAGCTCTTAAAGATGGAAGACAATGCTGCACAGCGTCACAACTCATAGAGGCGTTTAGTGTAGACCGAACTACAAGTTAAAACTGGTGCTTTGTGGATTAGTTTGTCCCATTGGAATAAGGATCAGAAATCAAGCCACCTAACCACACTTGTCTTGGCTTACAGTTTGGGATGTTGTTCGGTCATCAGGTCCGAATCCGGATTCCGGAATCCAGGAAATTTTTGCTCGTGGAATCCGGAATACTGGGCATTGGAATCCAGAATTCCGCTAGAGAATGAATCCAGAATCCATTTACTGAAGATCAGTTTTGAATCGTATTAACGGCTTTCATGCGCATCCATGCAACCACGGTCATGCTAAAACGCAGACTGCAGACTGTGCAGACCATGTAGAGCGCGCTTTGTTCGCGCTACAGATCGCGTGACAACGACAAATTCAGTCATGACCTATCAGCCAGTCGACTTCGATACTGAAATGGCCAAAGTTCCTTACTAGCTATTAATCAGTCTTCTACTCCGATTCAAAAATCTTATTCCCAGTAAAGTTCAATATTAGCTTGCAGCACTTTTTTTACCGTAAAGTTCTTTGGGCTGTCTTGTGAAGATCCTGGTAATCATTTGCTTCGTCACACAGCACATTCTATAGCTCTAAATCAGCGTAACTGTCCACAAAAATAACATCTGCAATACATCTTGCCGTGTGGGGCTAATCTCCATGAGCTTGAGAAACTTGAGCCTGCGATTTTGCTTTGCTAGGTAACGAGAGTTCGATATAAACTCGTCAAATTTCGTCATGTGGTGTCCAAAACTTGGAAAAACGTTACCAAAAGAGCAAGGAAGTAGTGTATACACCTTAATCATATGTAAATCACTGTTTAAAAAAAGCAAACAAAAAATTGCACAGCCTGCATGGTCTGCGCGGTTTGCACAGCCTGCGTTTTATCATGACCAATGCAACCGCTGTAGAGTGCAGTTCACTCACGTGGTCAATGGGTAGGCAAATTTGGAGAGACAAAAGAAATTGTTTACGTGACACAAGCACTCAAATTCCCCAGGATATGCTTGGAACACCAACGTGGCAACGGACCACACGTTTCCAGTTACGACAAACTTTGAACAAAGATATATATGGATACCTATGGGAGCCGGGAGAATTTTCGCTATTTAAACGTAAACCGCTTTCTTTGATATTTGGCGTTCGGAATAATAAATTTGAATATTTAATAAAGCATCTTATCTCAGTGCGAATAAAATAAGATATTAGCAGAATTTAGGGTCAAATTAAAAAAAAAAGAAAAAAAAAAGCGACGGGCCACCTTAAACCTTTATAGAATCATTTTTCTGGAGAATTTATAGCCGAAGTAATGTGACTTGACTTGGTTAACCTTTTAAAGAAAAATGAAGTATAGAAAAGAGAACCTGTTATTCTTGGAAAATTTCAGTGTAAATGCAGATCTTTTGCGATTTTGCAAAGGTTTGAGTATAGTTGAGTTGGTTGCACACCGTTTTATGCACAATCTCATAATGTCGAACATCATCTCCAATTACATGTAGGAAAACAAGCTTTTCTTAGTCATAGTCTGGGATTTATTTGCGACATCACGGGGTAGTACAAAACTTGTATTTCAGTTTAAATATTTCCTTAGTTTGGTTTTTGTTTAAAAGGAAAGTTAAAAAGTAATTTGAGAGGGAATCCGG